TATAAGGCACGCACCGTCCACCACTAGCATGGAGGGCGATGAGGTTATTGGCGCACCAAAGCATCCCGACTGGCTGCAAATGGTGCGCATTAAGGAAGGGGAGGTTCCCCGCGTGATCGCCTACGTTTCGACTAGGTTATCCCGCTATCGTCCCGCTATGCGTCGCGACATCCTCGTCCTCTCCCTCTTCAGCGGGGGTGAGGTTCTTAATCTAATGAACGTCTACTCTGACGATCAACACACAGCCATTGAGCACCTTGCTGCTCGTGTGCATTCTTTACCACCTTTCATTTATATGGCTGGTGACTTCAACTGCGTGTCACTTGGATGGATGACTATGAGCATCCGGGAGCATCTCAGATCGGCCTCGAGTGGGCACGACCTTCCAACCATGGACCGACGAGGATCAGTCCTAATCCAAACCAGAGATCCAACGTGTTGGATCTTGTATTCTTAGCTCCATCTGAGATTCTAATCTCGATGCCCAGATTGGAGCACGATCTCCAGGGTCCGTCAGATCATATCCCGATCTGTACAGATCTTGATATCGGTCCCGAACCGCCCGGATCTGGGCGACAGACAATCCGGATGAGGCTGAGATTTAAATCATTTCGGATATTCTCCGGGATCTTGCAGCTATTCCTGTTGCAGCCCCGGCAACCAAGGAAGGCATTGAAGCTTTAGCCGATGCTATCGCGACAGCGTTCTCGGACGCATGGCTTGCCCACTCGACCGAGTCCAAACCTACCAAGCGCTCCAAGTCCTGGTGGACGGACGAGTGCTCGGAGACATTTGGAGTATATCAGCTGAGCCATTCGCTCGCTGACTACAACAAGTTTAAGAAGGCGTGCAAAGACGCCAAGCGGGATTTCTTTGATGAACGCATCGCAGAAATCACTACCTCTCGCAAGCGCCCATGGGACCTAATGGAATGGGTCAAACAGCGCAAGCTACCACCCTGTGAGGCTATTTGCAATGGCGACCAGCCTTGCCACGATATGGACGACCTCTGGGACGCCCTGCACGTACAACTCCTCTCGCGAGTACGACGATGCCTCCGTCTTAGACGAGCTTCCTGATGAGCCAGTCCGCGAGTGGGCTGACTTCTCAGAGCATGAGTTGTTGAGTGCCCTTAAGGGGTGCTCCAACTCCTCTGCACCAGGACCGGACCATATCACATGGGTCCACCTAAAGGAGCTGCTCAAGGATAAACACGTCCTTGCGCTCTTCATCATGCTGGCCAACGCTTGCCTTCGGGTGGGTCATTGGCCACATATATTCAAGGAGTCGCTATCGGTTATCGTTCCGAAGCCAAACAAGCCCTCCTATTCTGTACCGAAGGCCTTTAGGCCGATCGTACTCCTCATCACTTTTGGTAAACTTATCGAAAAGATGATTGCCAATAGGATACAGTTTGACGCTGTCAAGCATGATATCTTCCATCCCAACCAACTTGGCGGTATTCGCCAGAGGTCTACTGAGGATGCTGGATTGATTCTGACCCATCTCGTGCGAGCGGGGTGGGTTAAGGGTCTCCAGACTAGCGCGCTGGCTTTTGACATTGCGCAGTTCTTCCCTTCTATCAACCATGAGATGTTCATGGCTGTCCTACGCAAGCAAGGATTCTCGCCAATCTTGGTGGAGTTCTTTGCTTCTTACCTTGTTGGACGTTCCACAGTTTACTGTTGGAACACCTTCCAATCCGACTCACGTTCTGCGGACGTGGGTGTCAGGCAGGGCTCAGCTCTCTCGCCTGTTATCTCTGGGCTGTTCATTGCTCCGGTAATGAAGCTCTTCTATATCAAGGCGGCGCCACTTAACATGACGCTGCTTTCCTTTGTGGATGATGGGACCATTCTGGCCCAGTCCAAACAACTCGATGATAATAATGTGGGCCTGCGTAAGGCCTACAAGATTATCTACCTTCCTTCTCTCTCGATTCGACAAGACCGAGTTGTTTCACTTTTCGCATCGACGAGATGCCTACAATCCCTCGCTGGATCTGGGGTACGCCCCTCATACCGGCGCCACACCTGTGAAGCCCAAGACCTATTGGAGGTACTTGGGCTTCTACTTTGACCGCGGGCTCACGTTTCATGAGCACGTTCGCTATTACGCCACCAAGGCGTTTACCACCGTGCAGGCCATGCGCATGCTCGGAAACTCTACTAGAGGTCTCTCGCCTAAACAGCGCCGCCTATTATATCGGTCGTGTGTAGTTCCCATTGCCACATACAGCTATCGTCTCTGGTATTTTGATGGCGCCCGCAATAAGGGCGCAATGAACCAGTTGAAACAGATGCAGCGAAAAGCTGCTCTATGGATCACAGGTGCTTTCCACACCTCTCCTACTGGCGGTCTTGAGGCTCTTGCAGGTCTCATACCTGTCCACCTTATGCTGAAGAAGTTGGCAACATGTGCAGTGTATCGTGTCTTTTTTTTTTTTTTTTTTTTTTTTTTTGATCAACAATTTATATAGCAGTGCTCGATGGCAGCCCGCTCGCTATCTACAAACACGTACGCTACGCGGCCTGGGTACTAAGTAAACTACTAAAAGACGTCCGCCCCCCCAACCACGAGCCTGATGGCTCAAACGCCGAAGCTCCTATAAAGCCAGACCCACCTCGCGAAAACGGTGACGCGGGATAAGGGGAAGAGACCATTGAGGCCCCGCTAAACCCCAGAGCCGTCGGACGCTGTTCGGAGGCCACGCAGCGCAATGAGATAAGAAAAGCACCACCCGGGAGGTGGCAGAGTGTCTTGAGGCCGACAAGCCAGAGAAGCACCTGCCCGAAACCAGACACAGAAGGTTAGCGGTGCTGCGATCAACCAAAAAAGGGTTTGACCGCCTGCACGAAGGAGTTGTTGTGGGCGCAGGTCTCCGAACCCTAGGGTCCGAGGGTGTTAATTCACCATAAATCCCCCAAAAGGAGGAATAACCCCGCCCACAACGATTATCCAACACCCGAAGGGTCCCGGTTGAAGCCAAACGCCGTAGGGTTGTACTTCATAAAAGCTGCAATATCCCCAAGAAAGCGGGGGTAATGCACGGAGTAGCGATCATGACAGCGAAAGAGAATATGCTGGCGGGACTGCAAAGCAGCCCCGCAAGTGCAGCCGTGAGGCTCGTTGATCTTGAAACGACGGTAATACGCTCCAATGGGTGCGTGGCCAGTTATACACCGGCAAACGCGGGTGAACTCCGTGATACTGTGTCCGAAGGTTGAAAGCCAAGGTCCCCCATTGAGGTACGATGGCTGTAGCGGCCACCCGTCAGGCTGTTGAAGCTCTAGGAATTCAGAGCCTCGGTAGGTTGAATCCTGGAAAGTGGAGCTCCACGAATCCAGGACTGAGTGTGCCGCTCGAGAGCGTAGCGTGTCTATAGAGTTGTCCGTCTTGCGACGTCCAACCCTGACTTTGAGCTCGGTGACGTACTTGTGTGCTTCACCATGGATATCCCACCGCAGAGTGGAAGGGACGTAGACGAAGGTAATACAACGGAGATCATCCGCCTTAAACCACTCTTGAAGAGTGCGACAGACTGACAGGCTAAAAGCCTGACCAGCATGCACACCAGGGTCAACCGCTCTATGGGCCGAGCCCATAGAGTCAGTAAAGACCATGATATGTTGGCAGTTTGCCTGCTTAACAGCAAGGCGCACTGCACACGAGATGGCATTGAGTTCCGCATCTGGGGCAGTAACTCTGCCAGAGACATAGCGAGTCCTCTCGAGCTCGCGATGTCCCTTGTAGATTATAGCAGCCGAAGCCGCCTGATACTGATTGGACTGAGGGACAGAGCCATCAGTTGCAGCCAGTACTGTTAGTGGGTCGGCCCTCGCTCTCGCGATGAGCTCGTCTAGATATGGACGCCTATCCTGGGTAGGATCGCGTTCGTCAAAGTGGAGACGGTCCGCATAGCGGTCCAGCAACCGATCGCCCGGACGAGCTTCGGGCGCAAAGGGCTCAAAGCTCTCAGTTAAGGTGTGGATGCGCTCGTCCACCTCCATGACAGTGCTCTTGACTTTCCCCCGCATGGCTGGGGTCATCAAGGCGGCAGAACAAGCATGTGGTGCGGCTCGCTTGAGAGTCCCTCGCCCATCATAGAGCGAAGAGGGTGAGTGTCTGAGAGGGTAGCGACGCGATACACTGCACGCGTCGCCAGCTTCTTCAGCATGAGATGGACGGGGATGAGGCCAGCGAGGGCCTCAAGACCGCCAGTAGGAGAGGTGTGGAAAGCACCTGTGATCCATAGAGCAGCTTTTCGCTGCATCTGTTTCAACTGGTTCATTGCGCCCTTATTGCGGGCGCCATCAAAATACCAGAGACGATAGCTGTATGTGGCAATGGGAACTACACACGACCGATATAATAGGCGGCGCTGTTTAGGCGAGAGACCTCTAGTAGAGTTTCCGAGCATGCGCATGGCCTGCACGGTGGTAAACGCCTTGGTGGCGTAATAGCGAACGTGCTCATGAAACGTGAGCCCGCGGTCAAAGTAGAAGCCCAAGTACCTCCAATAGGTCTTGGGCTTCACAGGTGTGGCGCCGGTATGAGGGGCGTACCCCAGATCCAGCGAGGGATTGTAGGCATCTCGTCGATGCGAAAAGTGAAACAACTCGGTCTTATCGTGTTCAAGAACAAGCGCAAAGGCAACAAAGAGAAGGTAGATAATCTTGTAGGCCTTACGCAGGCCCACATTATTATCATCGAGTTGTTTGGACTGGGCCAGAATGGTCCCATCATCCACAAAGGAAAGCAGCGTCATGTTAAGTGGCGCCGCCTTGATATAGAAGAGCTTCATTACCGGAGCAATGAACAGCCCAGAGATAACAGGCGAGAGAGCTGAGCCCTGCCTGACACCCACGTCCGCAGAACGTGAGTCGGATTGGAAGGTGTTCCAACAGTAAACTGTGGAACGTCCAACAAGGTAAGAAGCAAAGAACTCCACCAAGATTGGCGAGAATCCTTGCTTGCGTAGGACAGCCATGAACATCTCATGGTTGATAGAAGGGAAGAACTGCGCAATGTCAAAAGCCAGCGCGCTAGTCTGGAGACCCTTAACCCACCCCGCTCGCACGAGATGGGTCAGAATCAATCCAGCATCCTCAGTAGACCTCTGGCGAATACCGCCAAGTTGGTTGGGATGGAAGATATCATGCTTGACAGCATCAAACTGTATCCTATTTGCAATCATCTTTTTGATAAGTTTACCAAAAGTGATGAGGAGTACGATCGGCCTAAAGGCCTTCGGTACAGAATAGGAGGGCTTGTTTGGCTTCGGAACGATAACCGATAGCGACTCCTTGAATATATGTGGCCAATGACCCACCCGAAGGCAAGCGTTGGCCAGNNNNATCCTTGAGCAGCTCCTTTAGGTGGACCCATGTGATATGGTCCGGTCCTGGTGCAGAGGAGTTGGAGCACCCCTTAAGGGCACTCAACAACTCATGCTCTGAGAAGTCAGCCCACTCGCGGACTGGCTCATCAGGAAGCTTGTCTAAGACTGAGGCATCGTACTCACGACCAGAGGCCGAGTTGTACGTGCCGTGTAGGGCGTCCCAGAGGTCGTCCATATCGTGGCAAGGCTGGTCGCCATTGCAAATAGCCTCACAGGGTGGTAGCTTGCGCTGTTTGACCCATTCCATTAGGTCCCATGGGCGCTTGCGAGAGGTAGTGATTTCTGCGATGCGTTCATCAAAGAAATCCCGCTTGGCGTCTTTGCACGCCTTCTTAAACTTGTTGTAGTCAGCGAGCGAATGGCTCAGCTGATATACTCCAAATGTCTCCGAGCACTCGTCCGTCCACCAGGACTTGGAGCGCTTGGTAGGTTTGGACTCGGTCGAGTGAATGGGCAAGCCAGGTGTCTGTCAATGCCTTCCTTGGTTGCCGGGGCTGCAACAGGAATAGCTGCAAGATCCCGGAGAATATCCGAAATGAAAGACTTCTCAGCCTCACTTCCGGGTTTAATTGTCTGTCGCCCAGATCCGGGCGGTTCGGGAGACCCTACATCGATCAGGGACATGATCTGACGGACCCTGGAGATCGTGCTCCAATCTGGGCATCGAGATTAAGATCTCAGATGGAGCTAAGAATACAAGATCCAACACGTTGGATCTCTGGTTTGGATTAGGACTGATCCTCGTCGGTCCATGGTTGGAAGGTCGTGCCCACTCGAGGCCGATCTGAGATGCGGAATCCCGCAGTGATATTGCCGTCGACGACTCGCCATGCTCGTAGTCATCCCAAGTCGTCGACACACAGTTGAAGTCACCAGCCATATAAATGAAAGGTGGTAATGCACACGCCGC